TTAGTGTGCTGGATGCCAATTCATTCCTGACATTGATTGCTTTTTGTGTAAATAACTACTACATGCTGGACGTTTGCCCTAAACAATATATATGCCCTTCTCAATGCTGCACCCACATAAATAACTAAGCCATAACCTGTGAGAGTGTCTGCATTGTATAGAATAGAAGCTCGGAGGTAGAGTGCTAGCAATTAGCTTCTGATCCAAACAGATCAACCACAAAATGAGGGAATTTGATATGTTGTGCTCCTGCTTATCTGGCATTATCATTGAAATGCAGATTTGAACAGAAGTTCACTGGTTATGAAGGGGCCAGTGGGAAACTCAGCTTGACGGATCCATCAGTGGAATTTGATGGTAATTTGGCAGATCTGTAGTTAATTGGAGGCTAGCTGCATTTATTCACTCTGCAAAGCAAAGCCAGACGGGTTTGGCATTGCTTTCTGTTAGACTCTTGTTCTTCATCTCTGAAAGCCTGCACTGCAGACGCATTTATTTACCGTCTTTCGAAATTGATGGTGTGTGGCGTGGCTGGGTTCGTGACTGTGTAACGATTGGACACATATTAGTGGAGGGCCATAGCGTAGTATTTTATTACGTTCGCCTCACAAGCGAGAGGTCCTGAGTTTGATTCCCGGGCGGGGCGAAACCTCTGGCAAGTTTTGATGTCTCGATGACATATATCAAAAGCAAGGATTATTATTATATTTTTTAACAGATTCGGTCGATGTGCTTGTTAACGCATCAAACCTGTTAAGGAACATCTATCACATTTACCCCTTTGGTGGGTTCAGATTGCAGTGCAGTACAATACAATCCTGCCTTTCACGTCGGAAGTATGAAGTTATGAATTGAATTGCTGCACGTAGGTAGCAATCTTTCTCACAAAAAGATCATCACTTTTACCTTGGTCTGATAGCGAGTGACGAGACTGACAGACTGACTCCCCAAGTTTAAGCCGCGTAAAAGTGTGGAGCATTTTGTCAAACTATACCCTTTTTAATAATAATATATAATAGGATAATAAGATCCTTGCATTTGATGTAGTGCCTTAACATTTCATCAAGACGTCTGAAAGCTCTTCACACGATGTCCTGTAAAGTGTGTTTTGTGGACAACACTTGGCCTAAGATGAATGAGCCAATTGTCTCCATCAGAGGCCTGTTTGCATATCATTGACACCAAAGAGAATTCACCGGTCAGTCGATCGGTCGTCTGAACCCCTGACATTCTTGTTAGATCAGTGGGTGTTGGGTCCTGTGTTGGGAGGACAGAGCAAAGTGTCCTGGAGTGCTCTGTTTACTCCTCTCGTCTCCAGGCAACAGGAACAATCTGACGGCATAGTAATGTGCAGTTATTGCTTTGCCATCTGGTCTGTGCGTTTGTACCTCTGCTGTTCTGCATTGGAGCGAGTGAGTCGTAAACGTATGGAACAGGCTCCCGAGGGAGATGGACAGCTGAAAGTGTCAATTCTTTCAAAAGCAAATTAGATTTCTATCAGGGAATAATATCTGGGGATATAGTATAGAGTTTGGATACACGACAAGTGCTGGCAACTGCCAGGATGGTAGAAGGCAAACTGCATGGACCTTGGTCTTCTTTCGTCTCGCGAATTCTTATATTCTTCTGAGCTGAAGGTTCGACTGCTATTTGGAAGTCAAGCTTCCCTGTTTCCTTCGCTATTTCAGTGGGTAATGCTCTCACCTCTGAATCGCAAGGTTGTGGGTTGGAGCCTGACCTCAGGACTTTCAGCTCACAGTCTAGGCTGATGCTCCATTGTATTGCTGAGAAAAATCTGCCCTTTAAATGGCCAGATTGGCAACTGGAGAGAAATATTGATATTACTGACTAAATCTGGGTGGAATTTGGAAACCTTAGATAGAAACCCTTCTGTTAGAAATTCTTATTCTATACATTTAAAAGAATGGAGTGTAATCGTCACCTGTGGAACCATGTCCAGCCTCAGTAATTGTTTACAAAGAGACTGGGGATATGAATCGAAATCTAGAGAGGGGAAGATATGAGGTAGATTCAGTCTGTTTTTCTCCTATTTTTATCAACAACTATTGGCTATAAAACATTAAATGTGCGGTAAAGAGGTGGGAATTTGGTCCTGGCATGAGTCAGGGAATAAGAGAGTTTCTTTTAATTGATTCTCAGCATGATCCATGTTATGAAATACTAAAGTCATCAACGAAAGCAATTTCCTGTTCAATCTCGCTCTCACTTGGGTGTCTGCTGGATTCTCATAAATCTGGCACGCACTGATCCAATGGAGAGGACAAGAGCTTTGAGCGCTGATAAATATTCAGAATCTCTTCTTTCTCTCCCCTTCGTTCTCTCTCCCTCTCTCGGTGTCTGGGATTGTTGGTCAAAATAGTGTTGTTAAAATTTGGCATTGCGTTCATTGAACCCAGGTGACGTTGTTGGTGTGGAGTTTATTATTCTCTTCCACACACACTCCCGCAACGCTGTTTAAAAAGAGAAGCGAGTTTCCTTCCCCCCACCATCACACCCCACCCTGACAATTCTCCCCAGATAAAACTGGCCATTGGCTTCATGGCTGTTTGTGGCGACGTTGCTGTGAGAAAATTGGCTGCCGTGGAGGGCGAGGAGGAGGAGAGGAGGGAGAAAGGGTTGGGTCTCGAGCCATTAGTGGATAGAGTACAAGAAGAGATTTGAGCAATACCAGGTTTCTGATGTCCTAATAATGCTGAGTTACTGAGGCAGCAGATTGAGAGCAAATGAAGCCAGCAATATATAGAATTTTTTTAAAAAACAAGTGTCCAATTTCTGTGTTCTTTGCACCACCCATTACCTTTATTTTACGACACTGCTGTGCGCAATTGGCTAGCGCCTTTCGCACACAAAATACAAAGTCACTACACTTGACAGTATATAATATATATAATACACACAACATTGTGAAGCACTTGGAGATGTCTCAATGAAGTGATAAGGCGCTATGTCAAATACAAGGATTATTATTGTTATTATTATTACCCCATGCGTGAGTTTGACTCCAATATGAGCAGCAGGTGTGTTTGTGTGTTACACAGACTCGACAGATTGCCATGTGCAATGGGAAACTTAGTTCCGGGATCTGCGTAGCTGAACAGCCAGGAGAAAATTGGCTTCAACTCCCACAGTGTAAACCCGGAATAATTGATTGTAAAAGCTGCAGAAGCAGCGTAGCCTTTTGTGACGTGTACAGACACGGCTGATTTTCGGTTGTTGTCGACCAGACCTCTATCCTACCTTCCTTGCTCCCATTTTGAATTCCTTTGTTTGGAATGAGCAGCGTAGAAAATACATTTGCTTTCTTTGTCGGAGGAAAAAAATGTCCTCAGGCAAAGAGCTATTGGATCTCCCCACAGAGTATGGCAGAGCCCAGCTGTTTGCTGGTAGATGTTGCAGTGAATACCCATTAACCCTGTTTACACATAGCCCAATCCAAACTCCCTCGTTAGCCTTGTTGGGAATTGGTGTCAGCCTGGCTCAACTGGGAGTGCTCTCGCCTCTGAGTAGGAAGGTTGTTGATGTGTGCAATGCGCTTCATGGGGTTTTACTGTAAAGTATTCCGATTCTGCATTTTATGGGTGAAAGTGGCAGCCAGTTTGCGCACAGCAGTGTCCCACAAACAGCCTTGCAGTGAGTGACCAATTTTATTCGGGGGATTGTTGGCCAGGGATCGGGAGAGAGAGAGAGACACTCCCTTCTGTTTGTGAGTAGTGCTTACGGATCTTGAACATGCACCTGAACCGGCACAGACGAGACCTCAGCTCAACACCCCACCCAAAGGACAACAACAAATTACACTTGTTCAGTGCCCTTCATGTCGGGGGGTTGGGAGGACAGCTCCTCCAACAATGCAGCGCTCCCCCCCCGCCCACCCACCCCAGCAATGAGCTGGAGATTCCGTACAGAGTTCAGGCTTTGGGGCTCGTTTCCACAACCTTCTGAGGTAGAGGTGTGAGTGCTGTCCAGTGAGCCACACCGACACCTTCCCTAACGACAGGCCGATGATGTCTCTGGTGGTTTGCTGGATCTCAGGGGAGTTTCATCGTTGAAAAAAAACAAAGAAATACTGAACGCAGAAACCTCACAGAGATCGACGGGCGATGAGCTACTTATAAGTAAATAGACTTGGAAAATGGAATCCGAGGCAGGAAAGTGCTTCTGTCGTTGCTTTTATCCGGTTTAGCTTCAAGATTCTGCAGACGTTATCGATTTTGTTTTGTGAATCGGAGAGACCGAAATCAAATCATGAGTTGCCTTGACAAAACCGTGCTCCGGAATATCATAAAATTACATAGTGGTGGGACGTGTAACTTTACACTTGGAAAAGGTTGAAATGATGGATATTACAGTACATGATAGGATCAGATGTGGTTTGCATTGATAAACACAGCGCTGCTGTGCTAAATTGCTACTCTGTCAGACCTTCGTTGGTTCCTACACTGCAAATCTCGCTCGCCGACAAAACACAACAGTCACTACACTTCACAATAAATCCGTTCATCTTGGTTCTGCCTGTCCTGTTTGTGCAGTGGCACGGAGATGCCGGGGAGAGAGCAAAACAGCAAAAAAAAAAGAAGTTATGAATAGTCCGGTCATGTATTTAATACACTGAGTGTTAGTACCGACGGATTGTAATCAGTAGGTTAAATTCCGGTGTCAGAGATAGACAGAAATGAAACCGGTTTCACAATGCTTTTGCTCTTATGTCTTCCAAGAAGCTTTAAAAAAATAATCAAGTAATCAAGCTTGATTTTGCCTTTATTCTTTTTGCCTTTTAATCCTTCGCTTTTAAGCGTCCTGAGACGCTGCCCTGCATGAAGGGCACTATATAAATGCAAGCTATATCAATCTTTTTTGGGGGTCCTAGCCTGCTGCAATTATTCCTCTTTTGCTTTGGTGCTAATTCTTTTGTCGTTACAGTAATCCTTCCTGGAGAGTTAATGTGCTGACTCTTTATTTCTTCCCCTTCTTTCGTGCAGGATTTTAGCCACGGTTGGCACAGACTTTGACCTGAGGACCTTGCGGGCTGTTCGGGTATTACGACCTCTGAAACTGGTGTCAGGAATTCCAAGTATGTTCTTTGTATGTTCTTTGCATTCACGTTTTACTTTGGTGCACGTCAGAGGCGGGATTGCAATGGTCTGTGTATGTTGTTCATTCCCTCTCACAGTGCTTAAGAGTATCCTAACCAGACTGAGAGTTCCATGCATCCCACCTGTACGTGGAGATGCCCATGTGTTGGAATGGAGTCCGCGCTCTCTCTCCTCAGAGGGACACACCTTGCTGAGCATATTCCGGAGAGTATTAGGCACAGGTTGCCAAGAGCCAAAGCTTGGGGACCCAGAGTGTGTTTTGGGCAAACTGCCTGAGTCTAACCAGCTAAAATCACATAGCTCGCCATTGAGGGCACTGTCTGGCAAGTTTTCTCACTGTCTAACTAGATTTGGATCACCCTACCTGTTAATTGACTGTTCTCCCCTTCCAAGTCCTACCACAGTATGTCAGGGAGAAGGTATCCAATTGACAAGGTTACATTTCACAGATACTCATCATCAGGAAAACGAAGAGGAGAGATCCTTTACTTTACATTACACGCCATTTTCATGGCGATGGCTAATTTAGTTCCATAGTAAATTAGCAGTTCTGCCTAATAAGCTACGGTCATTGGAATGTAGCAAATTGCCTTTCAGTGACTGTCGTTCATCAAATTGTGCCTTGGATCCCGATTAGAGATGGATTTCACTCTGCAGCAGAGTCATTTAAAGTGTAGCGCTCTGAACGTCATCACTTGGTTCTGTTATGTTACTACCCCCGAGGGTGGAGGGAATATGGGAGGGCCCATTTGAAGCAGAAAGCAGTGGTGTAATTGTTTTGCCCACAAAACACACAGTCACTCCACTTTACCATCTATCCTGTGAGAATATCACCATGCTGTGCAACCTTAAATATTAGGATAACAATGATCTGAAAGGCTGAGGTGAGGTGGAATTTCAGGGACTGTTGCAAACATCTACAATTAACACATCAATCATTAAAAAATGGTATTGAAAGGGTCACTTTTTCCCCTCTTTGCCTCCCGCCCCCCCCCCCCCCCCCGCCCACACACACAACACACATTGTGAACCAGGTGCTAATTGAGTCTTGTTTCCATTAAAACTGCATCGCTGCCTATCGATCACACAAGCTTTCCCAATAAAACTGTAGATCTCAGCGATTGACCTGCTGTAAAGTTTAACAATGTCCACGATGTATCTATCGATGGCTGGTTACCCTGATCAGTACGTGTGGCATTTACTACAGGTTGAAAGTCGCACCGGTTTTGCTCTACAGAAACCCAGTCCTTTGTGCGAGGCGTACTTAGTGGTTTTTTTAATACGTAAAAAAATTGCCTGATTCTGTGATATTTACTTCAGTGTTGATCTCGCGTACACAGCTGATTCTCCACCACCCTTTTGTTATCCAAAAAGGAATGCACAGTCACTGCACTTGACAGTGAATCGCGTTCACCGTTTTGAGACGTCCTCTCGACGTGAAAGGCACCGTATCAAATGCAAGGTTATTATTATTATTCCCCACATCTCTCATCTTGTATTAATAATCATAATAATAATAATCCTTGCATTTGATATAGCGCCTTTGCAGTTGAATACACAATCACTACACTTTACAGAAAACACAAGAGAAGCGCTTTGGGATGTTGCGACCTTATAAGATTATGACAACCTTAACTTTTAGCTGTTGCATTGATCATTTAATGAAGGCTGAGAGATCCATTGTTTTGGAGGAGCGTAAGTCCCTCTGTTATTGTATCCCATTCCACAATGAATGGCTTCGGAGAATAAATTACCAACGCTTGATTTATTAACAATTTGGGTTTATCAAGCAAAATCTTGAGTCATTTATGAAGCTCACAGTACGAGGCGGCTTTAATATTTCATTTTGAAGTAAAATTTAGGAGCTCATTTTTTTGTTGTTAGGGTCGCCTTTCTAAAATCTTTAATATTGACAATATTAAAAAAAATTATCTCAATTTGGAGCTCGTTGAATACTCTAAAATATATATATATTTTCATTTGCTGCTGAACGCTGAGCGTGAAACCATTTCAGCCTATCAGCCAACCTCGTTCCGCAAGCTATTCGTTCACCCACCAAGGTAACACCATGTGTAAAATAGTTGGACGACAACAACAATTTACACTTATGTAATACCCTTCTCAGAGCTCTCAACAGTGGCAGAGCCTGACGCTGAGCTGGGGGCGGGGGTGGGGGGAAAGGAGGAGGGAGGTGACCATAAGCACATTCGAAGAGGAAAGTCTTCAGTCATGACCTAAAAGAGGGGAAGGAGGGGGCAAGATGGAGGGATTGAGGGAGAGAGTTCCAAAGCTTTGTGGGGTAGTGGCTGAAAGCACGAACACCTTTGTGGTACATCCTGTGAAGTGCTTTAGAGGACTGCTCACCACATGAAAGGTGCTGCGTACATTACAAGCATTCTCATTATTATTATTAACCAACTGATGTCCTGTGTTTTTGTTCCTTCAGGTTTGCAGGTCGTGCTCAAGTCAATCATGAAGGCGATGGTGCCGTTGCTTCAAATTGGGCTTCTCCTGTTCTTTGCCATTGTAATGTTTGCCATTATTGGCCTGGAATTCTACATGGGAAAATTTCATAAAACCTGCTTCAGCTTGGATACAGGTAAGGAGCGAGAGTCAGTCACACTGTGGGACGGTCTCTGCCATAGTTTGAAGGTCAAAAANGCCAGATCTTCTGCAGCCACATGGACAGTTTGTGCCCAGTTCTATCGACAGCTCTGCGTTGTTGGATGAGACGTTAAACCGAGGTCCCGTTTTCCTGCTCAAGGTGGGACGTTTACAATCCCACGGCGCTATTCGAAAGTTGCATCCAATTTCACTGAGGAATGGAGTCTCATGAGTGATGGATGAGAATCCTAGTGTTTAACAGCTGACGAAAACATCGCTGTCCTTTTGTTCCCAGGAGAGACGGTGGCAGAGTTTCCTTGTGGGGAAGACTCGGCTCGGCAGTGCCCGGATGGGTCTGATTGTCGAGGATACTGGACTGGACCCAACTATGGGATTACCAACTTTGACAACATCCTGTTTGCTGTGCTGACCGTGTTCCAGTGTATCACGATGGAGGGCTGGGTGGACATTCTGTACAATGTAAGTACATCGCGTGCGCTCAGACCCTGTGTGGGAGTGACACAGGGACAATGGGAACATTGCTTGACTCGAGCTGGGTTTTCACTGTGCCATTGGCCGTGACGCTTGGGTGAGACTAGGAACAGGAGGAGGCCATTCAGCCCACTGAACTTTCTCTGCTAGTTTACTGAACCACAAGGTCTTTTGACGCCTTTTGTCCTGATTCCTCACCACCATTGCTTTCCGAGAGCCTATCCTGTTTATGCGGAACGTAGTTCAAGTCGAGCCTTTTATAATTATATTTGCAATTCCCAGTGGTTGCTGTGAAGCGCTTTGAGACGTCTCTAAGGCGCGATATCAAATGCGAGAATTATTATTATTATTTTATTCTTCTTCTTCTAATAAGTTACCAGGAAACCTTTTGTAATGGTCCTTAGAATCTCTGTTATACCGAACTCAATTGTCTGTGATGAGATTTGATTCAGATTGAGGAAATGGGTGATTTGGTCGTGCTGTGTTTTGAGAGAGCCTTGATCCCCGTCTGCTTGTCAGTGTTGCACAGAGGGATCTGACTCTATACCTGGGCTTAACGTATGGGTTCTGTCAGCTCTCAGGCAGCTTGCTAGATGGGCGCATCACCATCGGGGAACGAATCATGCATTCTATCTGCTTCACACCCCACTGACTGCGTCTCGCCTGTTCTGAAAGCCCGCAAATCCTGGAATCAGTGACCCCAGAGGAGTCCCATCACAAAGGGGGTTCTGCGTTAAGCTGACTCGCTGTGACAAGTAGCTGGGGAAAATGAGGCAGAAGCAGAATTTTAAAGGAAGATTACAGTAAATGCCATGCTGGACGTGTGTGCTGGAGTGATCGCTCGTTGAATGGATTGACATTTTACTCCCAGGGCATTGTGACATTCTCGAGGATTAATTTATTTAGTGTGTATCAGCTCCGTGGAATAGAATCGTTCAGTGTTCAGCTTTTGCTCAGGAAACCAATAAGTGGGAGATTGTTTGAATCCCCACTTAGCACTTTGATGTCAACTCGAGAGACGCAATGCTCCAGGTCATTAAATATGCTTGTATCAGATCTGAATGTACGGTAGACAGAGTAAACTACTTTATAATCTTGTGTTGAAAGAGATAGGGAGCTGTGACTGTTTAATTTTACCGGTGCTTTCTCTTCGTTACGTCGTCAAATTTTTGCATTAACAACATTCTCTGCCTCACCCTTGCCATTGTAGCAGTGTCTATTGCAATTAGACCCAAGGCTGCTGTGTTACATGCTGTGCCTTTATTAAACCCCTTCACCCTGTGACCTGGCTATCAAGTCAGCCAGTCCTGCAGATAAATCGATCGGCTGTTTGTGGGACATTACTGTGCGCAAATTGGTTATCCTGTTCGCCTAAAAAAATGCACCTCATAGCAAGGCCCCATTGAACCATTACAGCTATGGGTTGCATCAAATGCAAGAATAATGACAAATGTCATTATTATTAATATTATTATTAATTTAATTACAAACCAGAGAAGGATTAGTGTTACTGTGAAGTGGAGTGAGCGCGTATGTTATAGGTGAATGCAGCAGCCAATTCTGAGCACGGTAACATCCCTCAAAGAGCTGTGAAGCGAATGCCTGAAGTTCAGCTCTTATGTAAAGATTAATAATATTAATCCTGGCATTTGATACAGTGCCTTATTACGTCTTCGAGACGTCTCAAAGAGCTTCACAGGATACACTGTAAAGTGTAGTGACTGTGTGTTTTGTGGGCGAAACGCGACAGCCAATTGCGCACAGCATTCTGTGCTCCTTGTTCCTAGATGGAATAGAATTATTGTGGAAAGTGTGGCTTAGACACAGATGCCATCGCCAGCGTAGCTCAGAGCTGAAACGTTTTGTGCGATGAGGTAACTATTTTGTGGGCAGCCGCTTGTTTTATTTCCTGTTGTAAAGTTAAACGAATGACAGTCCTTTTTTGAGGCATTAAAACTGAAGTGAGTCATCAAAGGGGAATGACGAGAAGGTATGGCGAAGCTGCTATGTTTGGGCCAGACTACTTACCCTGCAGCGGCATGGGGACGGGCAGAAAAGAAGAGAGAGATTATCTAAGTTTGTGCCTTGAAGCAGCGCTCGCCCACGCGCAGAGAGAGAAGCTGTGGGTGTCTTCTGAATCCTTCTCCTCTTGCTGCAGCCCGATTCAATCTGAGAGGCTTTCTCGCACTCAGTTGAACTCAAGATCCTCAGCGCTGTATTTGTAGACGATTTACTGCAGCCTTGTAAATACTTACCAGCAACGTAGGACATTATAATGATGTGCGTGTCAGTGCATGTCGCAGTGGGAAAGCGCTCGCCTCAGAAGGTCATGGGTTCAGGCCCCAGGTCGGGGACTTTGGAACGCATCTTGTCTAGGCTGACCCTCCAGTGCAGTGCCCCAACCCAGGGGATGCACTGCATTTGTCGGAGGTGCCGTCCTCCCCCAGTTGAGTTGTTAAACTGAGGCCCGTCTGCTCATTCAGGTGGAGTTTCTCTCTCTCCTGGCCGACAATCATCCCGAATAAAACCGGATGTTTTTTTCTGGGGCTTTGCTGTAGAGGGCATGTTGGCTGCCGGGTTCATCTACGAAACACACAGTTACTCCACTTGGCAGTGTAGCCTGTGAAGCACTTTTTCAGAGCGACCTCCTGAATTGAAAGGCGCTGTATTAAAAGCACAATATTATTATTATAATTCTATGGGTCCACACTGCCCCTGACATCTCTCGGTTTAATGGCACAGCAGGATTGGTCTGTTTTTTGTTGCGTGTTCCGCCATCCACTTGGTTGACCAAACAGGTTATAATAATAATAATAATCCTTGCATTTGATACAGAACCTTACCACATCGTTGAGACGTCTCAAAGCGCTTCACAGAACATATTGTAAAGTGAATCGACTGTATATTTTGTGGGCGAAACGCGGCAGCCAATTGTGCACAGCAGCGTCCCCACAAACAGTCGTGGATTGAGTGACCAAATTTTTATTATTATTATTAGGGCGAGAGGGGAGGAGGTTCTTGCTACACTGTGAAGCTAGCATGATGCCTGGTTGCTAATCTTGATGTGCTCTGTAACAACAAGTGTAGACGAGAGAGTCATCGACTTGAAATTCTAGGAAGCTTTTGAATCACAGATTGGTATCGAATATATTGGCTTGTTGGCAAGGAGACCGACCCATGAGCAGTTTTCCAGTAAATCTCGGTTTCCCGGTCTGCAATTGGGCTCGCGGACGTTTCTTGGAGATGGAGAGAGAGAGGAGGATTGGGGAGGCGAGGAGAGGAGGGGTGCGGGGGGTTCTCTCAAAGAGGGAGAAAAAAATCCATCTTCTAGTCGCCACTGTAACAGATCCGCTGTGAACCTGAGAGCAACAGCGCTGAATACCCTTGACAGCTTGTGGCTGAATCTCCCCGCACGTGACCTGCTGTGGTGAGGCTCAGATGGATGGTTGCATTACAGCAGACAAGGCAGGGCGAGGTTGGGGCTTGTTCCCGATGGACCAGGTTTTCTGTGCGGAGAGAAATCAAGGAGGAAGGATTACCAAGTGTGTGATGCACACTGGAGCCTGTCCGTCCGTCCATCCATCAGTCAGTCGTCGCTGCTCTCTCTTTGTTCTATGAGCAAGTATGTCTCTCCCCTTAATTTGTTCTCTGTGGAGACAATCAACAGCAACAACAATAAATCACACTTGTATAGTCCCCTTCACATCGGAAAGACGTCCCAGGGCACTGGACAGTCGGGGCGTGGGGTGGGAGGGGAGAGAGAGGGGGTACAGAGGATAATACGTGACTTTTGTAAGAAATATCACAAAGCACAGGTTATGAAATACCATGTGTTTTGTCTTCACGTCCTGAAGCATAAATGCAATCAGCTGCAGAGTGTTAGATCCATAGAAATTTGCAGCACAGGAAGGAGGCCATTTGTCCCAATGCCACGTCAGATACCCGGCTAGCCCCAAAAACAAAATGTTTCAATAAAACAGCAACCGTCGGGGAATGATTCTAAATATTCTGATAGCCTGTGCTGTTGCAAGTGCTGCATCAGATTAGAATCGTTGCCTGATGGGTTGCTCTTTTATTAATACATTCTGTTTTGGGGATAGCCAGGTGTCTTGACATATGTGAAAACCCATCGTGCTTAAGAGCATCCAAACTAGACAGAGTTCCACATGCCACTTGCACATTGAGATTTACCTTTGGTCTGTATGGGATGTGCCCTCTCTCTCTCTCTCTCTCTCTCTCTCTGTCTCTCTCTCTCTCTCTCTCTCTCCCGGGAGGGATGCACTTTACTGACATAATTCGGGAAAGCATTAGACATGGGCTGGCGAGAGCCAAGGGTTTGGAGGGGATGTGCCGGCCTGGAGTGTAAAAGGGCGATAGAAAAGCAGCAGGTGTACATCTCAGTTGAATGACGGCAGCTCTGACAATGTGATGCTCTCCCATCGCTGCCTCGGAGCGTCAGCCTGGACCACGGGAGCTTTAAGTCCCGACGTGGAGGCTCGAACGCACAACCTTCTGATTCAGGGATGAGAGAGAGTGCTACTGACTGAGCCGGGCTGACGTGGAGCTTGAGTGGAGTGTAGCTTGGCTTATTTAGCCAACTGTGACTGAACACTGTGATGTGTCGAGGCCTACAGATGCCAGGTATATTTGTAGCGTATAAGAGAGGTAAGCTCACAGCTGTACTGTTCTGTTCATTCATTCATTCTCTGAACATGCTCTAAGCTGTTGGAGGTGGGTGTCCGGGAAGACAGTGATGGATTGTTGCTGTGTTGGTGATCCTGTGATGTGATGTGGGTTTTATTTCAATTGCACACTGTAGCACTCACTGCGACCAAATGCTTGTGCTCACATCTCAGCACAGAAACACAATGATCTTTAAGATCCTGGGTTTAAAACCACTTAGTGGAGTCCTGTAGCTCAGTGGGTAATGCGCTCGACTCACAAGCGAGAGGTCCTGGGTTTGATTCTCGTGCAGGGCGAAACCTTAG